GTTCAGTTCAGAATACTCAAAGGGGAGCCAGACACAGTAATCAAATGGGGTGATGTCAGAAGACAGGAGGGATAACTGAACATCTATGGAATAATCTGGGTACAAATGCACAAGAGTTTGATACCAGCCCTCAAAAGAAAAAAATAGTTGGATGTCCATGAATTGGAGGCCATCATGGAATACATAGCCTAATGCAGAAATCCAGAGCTACACAGAAGGACAATCTTTCAAGCAAACAAAAAATCTATAGCATTGTATGGTTGGTTGCAATGAATAGTTAATAGGAGCTGACATCTATTTCAGAAGTGATGAACCTAAGAGCCAGTAGACATGGATTGGTGTATGGGATGTTGTTTTCAGGACATGATGCACACAAGTAAGCCTGTCAACAGTCAATTTGTATTGGAAAATTCTTTGTGTGGCCTTAAACTACCTTGTGGAACTATTGACCATTGATTTATGTTGGGGAAAAAACACTCATTGTCTTCAGTCACAAATCCAACAGGTAAACCCACAAACTCTAGTGGAGAATTCCAAACCTGTATCCACACAGACTACCCTTGTTAAAAATCAGGGACTTGTAGCAGGGCAGTAGTGATTCATGACTTTAATCCCTGAATAGGAGAGGCAGAGGTAGACAGATGTTTTTTAATTTAAGACTATCCTGGACTAAAGAGTGAGTTCAGGAACTGCCAGTGCTACACAGAAAACCCTGTCTTAAAAAACAGAACACATCAATGGCTAACAAACAAGAGGTCATGAATATGGAAAAGGGACCTGCAGAGAGGAGGAGGAGAGGGAGGAGTAGGAGGGAATACAGATGAGAAAGGGAGGAAAGGGAAGCTGAGGGGATGAAAACTAAATACAATGCACTATAGAAACATATGAAATCAAAGTACAAATGTAATAAAATATTAAAGCAGATACAAGTAACTCTAAAAAGCCTTAATGGGTCACATATATGTATTGATATATCTGTTTGCATACTTGTCCTTCAATAATAATTAAAGCAGAAAAGGACAGAAATTTGAGAGATAAGGTGTTATGGGGGATGTTGGAAGGAGAGGAGGGGGATATGTGTGTGTGTATGTATACAGAGAGAAATCAGCCATAGATATATAGATATGGAGACAGAGGGGTGGTCTGCTCAGACAAAGATTCACTTTGTAACCCTGGCTGGCCTAGGCCTCACAGAAATGCACCTGCCTCTGCTCTTTGAATGTTGGGATTAAAAGAAAGTGGCACCACACCCAGCTGATGTTGTTTGTGTTCATTAAATTTTTCCAAATTTTAATATTGGGAATAGGTTTGTTTTGTTTTTAGGCAGAGTCTCCTTATTACTGAGCATGACTTCACAATCATATATTCCCTAGAATGATGATGAATCTATACTTTAATATATGGGTATTAATGCATGTATAAGCCAGGAGCTGACATCTGGTACTGTCTTTAAGCATACTCGTGTGGGGGGCTGGGGGAGTAGTATTTCATTTACAAGTGCTTCCTTTGAAGGGTAAAGGTTGATGGGTTTGTTGGTGAGCTTGAATAATCACTTTATAATGTATTGTATAGTTACATACAACACTGTACCCAGTACATTCATTACATTCATACAACCATTGCCGATAGGCTGACAAATAATTTGGATTACAGGTATGGTGGAACATACTTGGAATCCCAGGACTCAGATTGCGGAAGCACGAAAATACTGAATTCTAGGCTAGCCTCATCTATCAGTACTTGAAAAGATTCTGAAATTATGGTGGCCTGACCCTGTCACCTGGAAGAATGGACTCAGGCAGTACCCTGGTCAGCCCATGGTTCCATGACTAGTCTGCTAGAAGATGCTAGGACCCCTTTAAAAGACAGATGGCTGCCCACTTAAGCTCTCCTTCCTTCTCTCTTCCCTGCTCCATTTATGCTCCTTCCTTTCCTGTTCCCCTCTTTTGCACTCTCTTTGCTGCTGTTCAAATGAAGGCAGACAGGTCTTTTCCTGGCTCCCTCTTCTCTTCAGCATTCTCTGTCTCTGTGTCTGTGCTGTGTGTCTCTTCACTTCTTTTCTCTGTCCTTCCCCCTCCCTCCCCTTTCAAATAAAATGTCTCACTTAAACTCTGTCTGCCTGGCATCTTTGTCCCTCAGGCACAATCACCCTTACCTGCCACGGAATTGGCCAAGGTTCACGATGTACTATATTTGTAAGAGTAACACAATCTCTTAAAAAGCAAAACATCAGGAAGAATCCAGCGTGGATAAAACAATGTTGCATGCTAATAATTGTGCTTTTGAGGACTGGTATGAAGTACACAAGGAGTACAAGACTAGTCTAACAACAAAGTGGAATAGTGTCTCAAAAAATAAATAAATGTAACTGATGTTAAATATGAAAAATCGGTAGTAAACATCTCTTGCATTTGTGGTTGAATACATAATGATGATAGTTACTTTAGAAAACACTATAATCAACCCTTTTTGACTCATATCTCATCGTGTACCCAAATCTTGATTGAAACTAGTAATACTCTTGCCTCAGCTTCCTGAGTGCTAGAAGGATAGACATGTGCCCTTTGCTCAGGCATCAGAGCAACGAAAAGGAAATAAGCTAACTACAAACAGTTAAAATACAGTAATCGTAATGCTTCTGTGGGAAACTACTGCATGCAACATCATGTTGGGAAAGCAGGAACAGAAATATCTAAAAGTGGGATTGTGGATGTTGCTCATTTTGTAAACTTCATCTCCAGCACGTCATAAATGAACTCAGTGTGATGATCCAGTCTGACTACCTCAGCATTGAAACGTTGAAGCAGGAGGATAGGAAATTTAATGTCATTTTTGACTACATAGTATATTGGAAGCTCCATGACTCTTAGAAAACTAACAAGCAAAAAGAATACAGTAAAGAGGAATCACAGAGACTGATAACTGATGAAAATGTATTATTTACACAGGAATTCATTTAACAAACATACCTGTCTAGACACAATTTTAAGAATCAAGGATATAGAAAAGAATCGAGAATCCCAACCTGACCAGAGGAACACATACACTACAGTCACTACATGAAGAGCCTGTATTTCACTTTGCTAAAAATAAGAAAGACAGACAGACAGAGGTGATGGAAAAGCAGAGCAACAGAACAACTGCATAAATAAACAGAGAAAGTTGGTGCCCATCTATCTGGAATTCTCAGAAGCAATCCTTCTTAAAGCTTCACAGAACATCGGGAAGTGACTATGGGAATTCAGAGACAACTACCACACATCCAGCCCTTACCCTGAAGTACGCAGTCCTGCTGGTGGGGCAGTGAAGTCAGGCAGCTTACTGTTAGAGAATGGAAAGATGGAGAAGATGCCACCCAACACCACATCTCCAGGACGGTCAAACTGGGGCCTCTGCCTTGGGAAAAGCCAAACTCTTGGTCCACAAAGAGCAGACCCAGACAGACAGACAAGGACAACAGGAAGGAAGGTACACAGCCACATGCCTGATGCAAGACAGCCAATGACAGCACAGCCCCATATGGAGCATTGGCTAGTAGTGAAGGGGGCTTTTATCTAGGCACTGCCCTTGATGAAGGACCTGAGGCTAAGATCACACTGGGAAAATATCAGACCACAACGGGCAGGCTGTGGCCAGAATCTGGGTTATGAAGTATGGGAGGTGGGTAGCCTCTAGATCCCAGAACCATTAAAAGTTTTATCACCTGCTCCTGGGACTTCCTAACTTCCTTACATCCAATGTCACAGCTCTGGGCATCATCTGCAGACTACAAGATGGGTGATAATGGATCTGATGGTCTCCTGGGGGACTTGGAAGCCCAGGAGCAACTCTACTTGTGACACTGTTTTGTAGAAAGAACCCAGGTGATGACAAAAAGCTAAAATTCTTAGAGTTCTTCTTAGAAATCAGAATATAATGGAGGTTCACACTCCTTAATTGATGGATAACTCCTTTTTAATACTACCTTTATTGAGACATAATTCACATAGTGTACAAATCATCCATTAACAGCAAACAACTTTGCAGGTATGGTAGCACACCTAAAATCCCACCACTCAGGAGGCTGAAGCACGAGGATTGTTACAAGTCTGAAGCCAGCTTGGTTGGAATGAAATGAGCCGGTCCTCAATAAATAAAAGGAGATGAAAATATAGTGCACTTTAGCGTGTTGGTGAAGTCTTACAACTATTACCAAATCATTTACTAATTAGGCATGGGTGCAGTACAGGCACATGAATGCAGATGCACACAGAGATCCCCTGGAGCAGGAATTACACGTGCCTGTGAGCTGCCAGACATGGGCTCTGACAACAACCTAGGTAGTGTGGAGGATAAGTCCCCTCTGCAGGTTCAATAACAATATTTAGATATCAATAGCCCAGATTTTATGTTTGGAAGGGTATATTTATAAGAGTGGGAAGCTAAATTACATGGCAAGTCTGTGAAGGAACTGTACATGAAAGGTTCAGTCCTACCTACTGGCCCTGTCAAAAGAAAGAGATCAATGATCTCCCTGTCAATGCCTCACTCACTAAGAAACCCTTGATAACATCATCATCAAATCATCACCCTTTTCACACTATTGCATTTATAATTTCTGTGTATTCATATGGGGGAGTGCTTGCTTAAGTTAGCCAGCAGACCTCATTTCCAACAGGTGGTTCCTGAGTATCAAACTAAAGTTGCCATACTTAATGGTATTTGTACATAATGAGGCATATTCCCAGCTACCCTTTTCAGACTTAGTTAACTGTGATGAACTTTATCAATACATAGAGAAAATAGTGAACAACTTTATATATATTCACTGTCAACTGATAGTCTTGAGAGTTTTGTTCAAAATATATCACTTTTAACTTGATCTGCCTTTTAAATACTATCATGAACACTGAAACTGTGAGTCAAAATCACTTGATTGATCCGGGTGACTCCCTGAAGGACAAGATTCCAAAATGGTGTGGTGTGGACCCATGGAGACACCTTCTCAGGGGCATCTCACTCTACCTATCCTGTTGTGCCTGGTGGCCTTGCCTGAGCTAGGATGGGTGTTCTTCTCTGGTTTCAGCAAGATAATGTAGCACTTGGGGATGAAGATGCCACCCAGAAGCCCAGCAGTGGAGGCAAGGATGGAGAAGATCTCTACAGCCACAGTGGACTTGCCCCGGGAACTGTGGTACAGGGGCAGGAAGGTTGTCCAGACACTGCAGAAGAGCAGCATGCTGAAGGTCAGGAACTTAGTCTCATTGAAGACATCTGGTAGCCCCCTGGCCAGAAAAGCCACAGTGAAGGTTCCCCCTGCCAGGAACCCCAAGTAGCCCAGCACACAGAAGAAGACAGTGCCAGAACCCTCCTGGCACTGGATGACGATGTGCTGGGGCTCAGAGATCATATCCCTGTCTGGGAATGGTGGAGAGGTGGCCAACCAGACCGCACAAAGAACAACCTGAATGAAGGAAGCAATGAGGACCACTGCGGTGGAAGCTCTGGGGTTCAAGCAAACATGGATCCTGCCCCCAGGCTTGGTGGCTCTGAAGGCCAGGACCACTGTGAGAGTCTTGGCCAGAACGGAGGAGACAGCCACCGTGAACACCACAGCAAATGTGGTCTGACGGAGGAGGCACGTGGTCACACTGGGGCGTCCAAGGAACAGCAATGCACACAGGGCACAGAGCGAAAGAGACACCAGGAGTAAGTAGCTGAGGGTTCTGTTGTTGGCCCTCACCACAGGGGTGTCCCTGTGCTTCAGGAACACTCCCAGAACCAGGACAGCAAGACCAGACAGCAAGAGTGCCACCAAAGCCAGCATGAATCCCAGAGGTTCCTCAAAGGCCAGGAAGAGCTCTGTCCTGGGCAGGCAGTGGTTTCTACCGTGGCTCGAGTACTGCTCCTTGGGGCACAGAAGACATCTCTTCATGTCTATGGGAGACACACAGACACATTTCTGCAATAGCACACCAACTACACCATCTATAAAAGAAGATGCCCTATGAATTAACTGCTCTTATTGTCTTACGACAGTTCATTTATTTATTAGTCTTGATGACATGGACTCTGATAGGTGATATTAGCAGCACATGCACAAAGATAAAAACTGTACAGGTTATGCTGTTTTATGTGAAGATTTCTCCATTGAAACAGGTTCTCATGCAACTCAGGCTGCATAAGCCATGAATTCCTCATCCTTCTGTCACAACTACTTAAGACCTGTGATTTTGGCTCTGTACCTATACCTAAAAGTGTGAGTTTCTGAGTGTGCAGGTTTCTGTGTGTACACATGTAGGTGGAGATCCATGCATGTGGGGACAGAGATTGTCATCAGATACTATTTCTCAAATATTTCCCTTACCTTATTTTTCTAACCAAACTTATGTGTATATTGTGGTGTGTGCATAACTCTGGGCTTGGGCATGCCAGGCTGTGCAAGAACAACCTTCAGGAATTTGCTGCTCTCCTTCGACTATGTGGGTCCCAGGCCCTGAACTTACACTGTCAGGGTTGTCAGTAAATGCTTCAACAGATGTTCCAGTTCACCAGTCTCCCCAGTTTACTCTTTTGTAATTACTTGGTTTACTTAGCTTACTGAGAGTTTTCTCTGTACATGTTGATGGAAATCGTCAGTGCCTGGCTCCTGTGGAATCAGAAGATGTCATTATTTCTCCTATAAATGGAGTTACACTTGGATATGAGCTGCCATATGCGTGTCCCCAACTGTGCACCCACCTCTCCAGAACCCTTTTAACCTTACTTATTTATAGAGGATCTCTCATTGAAACTGAAGATCACTGAGTTGACGATACTGGCAGACAACAATACCCAAAGATCTTGTCTCTGCCTCCTGATTGCTGCGACTGAAGGAAAGTGACACTATCCTAGTCTCTTTTGTGAGTTTCTAACAGTTCATCTCTTTCCAATAGAATCAGCCACAAATCACATTAACAAATGTTTTAGAGCCCACCAACGAGACCAGGAAACCAGAGGAGCCAAGGAAACCAGGGGAGCAGCTGTTCCAGCGGCGGGATCAGGTACAACAGGCCCTACTTCTGGGCCTGTGTTCCAGTGCCTGGGGGTTGCCTGGAAACTGCACAGAGATTCCCATCCCAGTGGGACCCAAACTCCCCAGACTCCAGGAATTCTCTCCCACCAACGAGCCCAGAAAACCAGAGGAGCCAGGGAGACCAGGGGAACAGCCGTTCTGGCTGGATCAGGTACAACAGGATCCAGCAAAGGGTCCAGGGGATGAGGTGGGAGGCTAAGTGCCCCAGATTCCTGTTCTTCTTCTCCACCCACGGGACCAGAACAAGGACAAGGAATAGAAGAACGACCAGATTATTGGACTTGCTAGCACCCACCAAAAGGGAACTCTGGTCCCCTAACCACCAGACCAGTAAGGAGCTATTTCTGCACCCACTAGATGAAGAGATGGGAAAGAGACAATACAAAAACACACTCAGCAACAGAAAAGCAAATATGACACCACCACATTCTAGAGAATCCACACCAGCAAGACTCCAACGTCACAATGCAAACGACGCAGAACAGAATGACCTTAAAACCACTTTCATGAAAATGATAGAGGCCCTAAAAGAGGATACAGGAAAATCCCTCAAAGAAATGGAAGAAAAGACAATCCAAAAAATGCAAGAAATGAAAGAAAACACAAACCAAAAAAGGCAGCAAATGGAAGAAGAAACAAACCAAAAACGGCAGGAAATGGAAGAAGAAACAAAGCAAAAAATGGAAGAAATGGAAGAAAAAGCAAACCAAAAAAAATGCAAGAAATGGAAGAAAGACCAAACCAAAAAATGCAAAAAATGGAAGAAAGAACAAACCAATGAAATTCATAAAAGGGAAGAAATGGACGAAAAGATAAACCAAACATTGCAAGAAACAATGCAAACACTGAAAGAGTTTAAAACTGAAATAGAGACAAAAAAACACAATCTGAAGAAAGGCAGGATATAGAAAAGCTGGGCAAACGGTCAGGTACTACTGATACAAGCATTACCAACATAATAGAAGAGATGGAAGAGAGAATCTCAAGTGTTGAAGATACACTAGGAGAAATAGATTCATCAACCAAAGAAAACCTTAAGTCTAACAAATCCTTAACACAAAACATCCAGGAAATATGGGACACCATGAAAAGACCAAACCTAAAAATAATAGGTATAGAAGGAGAAGAAAACCACCTCAAAGGGGCAGAAAACATATTCAATAAAATCATAGAAGAAAACTTTCCCAACCTTAAGAAAGACATGCCAATGAAGGTACAGGAAGCTTACAGAACACCAAAGAGAGGGGACCACAAAAAAGTCCCCTCACCACATAATAATCAAGACCCCAAATATACAGAATAAAGAAAGAATATTAAGAGCAGCTAAGGAAAAAGGCCAAGTAACATATAAGGGCAGACTTATCAGAATTACACCTGACTTCTCCATGGAAACTCTGAAAGCCAGAAGGTCCAGGATAAATATTCTACCGACACTAAGAGACCATGGATGCCAGCCCAGACTACTATACCTGGCAAAGCTCTCAATCCCTATTGATGGATAAAACAAGATATTTCCATGACAAAACTAGATTTAAGCAATACATATCCACTAACCGAGCCCTACAGAAAGTTTTGGAAGGAAAACTCCAACCCAAGGAAGTTAACTACAACCAGAAAAACATAGGCATTAGAGAATGCCTCTCTACCAACAGCCAAAAGAACAAAGGGGTGAAATTCCACACATAATTCCAACAACAACAACCATTGCAAAT